CAGAGGCTGGCCTCTGACCATGTTTAATCCAGGTTAAAACAGTTTTGTTTGGCTGAGCAAACACCCAAACATCATGTGCTCCTCTTATAAAATCATTGTAAAATCAATGTATTGGCATTATCTATGCTTAATGCTTCCAATCTTATTTTGTTAAGCACTTTGAGCTGCCATGTGCGTGAATTCATCAATACAAATAAACTTGCCTTGCCTCCTTATTGTATTAAACTTCATAAATTCAAGATAATGAAGCATGAGTATGTCAGTTGTTTGGACCTTGCACAAAGGTGACACACCTTTGTGAAAACAGAACATGACAGTAGCTGATGGGCCTAATGAGTTTGTACTTGAGCGATTGGAGCAGAGAGAGGACAGACGCACACTGCCAACTGTCAATCACAGTCAGCGGCCCTCAGGAGCGCAGCAGAGCGTGAATATGAACATTCAGAACACTGTGCTATATCCAAACAGACCTCACACAGTAGATCACACTGGAAATATTGCAAGGAAGTTTTACAGTGAGTAAAAGTATTCATATTGAAACGGTCACATTCACACAAACAAAATCTTTTCCTTATTTTTAAGTTTCTGTGGTCTGCCAGGAGCTTGGGAAAATCCATTCAGCCCCACTTGAAATAACCATCATTGTAATCCAAACAAAAGAGTTTAATTACACAAACATTATCAAAGCCAAACTACTTCCTGGATTTGCAGTTTTGGCCTGCCAATTCTACTTTGTCAACAAATAAAAGTGTCTGCGGTGAGTGTGAATGAGGCCGTTTGGTTGCAGGCAGAAGCCACACCACAGGAGCGCTGGTAAATCTGCGGTCCCTGGGCCCCAGCTGCTAATACTGTTCACTTGTGTAGAGCTTGAACGAGGAAGTCAGAGCAGGGCTGTACAGTCGTAACTTGTAAAAGCACCATTCCGCTTACTGCTCATGCAAGTCGTTTGGAGCATTCACTTGAAGATGGATTCCTAAAGTTTTTATTTACCCAATAGAAAGCCTTGTAAAGGATAATGTAAAAAAGATTTGACCTCATCGTATTAGAAAATATATCATCTTTTGCATACTGTAGATGTCAGAAAGAGTCGCTATTTTAGGATTTGGGCTGAGAGCTGATTGGCTAAGTGAGGGTGGTTCTCTCTATTTCACTTGCTGATCCAAATAAGTGAAAGAGGCCTAGTCCAAACTAGTGGACATAATTACATATTTTGAGTCCTTTCTTGTTTTATCATGTGACATTCTTTCTACAAATATGAACACATAATCACAACCTGGCTAGCGGTGCAGACTAGCTACCCCGAAAAGAGTGCATTGTTGACTTGCAGACAATGACAATACTGACACAAGCAATGAATATTTTACACAGAAATAGCCATACCAAGTCTATTTTTGGCTTAAATCTTACACGATATGGATTTATCGGGAATTGTTAAACACAAGAAAAAGTGGGCGGTGGATAATCCTCCGGCAGGCCTGTCTCTTACTGTCTATGTTACTGGATTTGCATATTTTACAACAATAAAAATCCAAAGGCTGAAAAAACAGATATTCAAGAGGGAAATTAACACCAAAGCAGCCGTTAATAATTCACATTCTTTCAGATTCAGATTGACTTTCACTTCATTTCATTTCCAGTTAAGAGCTAATGTGCACAATAGACAACAAAACACTAAAAACACATAGGAAAACATGAAATAGTGTGAGAATATATAAAAACAAACACATACTAAAAGCAATATGGTTCTAGATCAGGGGGGAATAAGTTGTGGTCTTCAGAGGGAGGCCAGAAGGATAATGGACATGTGAAGAGCTCGATTATAAGTCTGAAATCATGGAGAACCTCAAGAACTGACATCTCCCAGCACACCAGTAAGACCAGTAAGGCCAGCTAATGTACAGTAAATACAACCTTCTTCATGGTAGTACAGGATAAATGTCTCGATCTACTACGAAAACACATATGCACTTCTTTTAAATGCTAGCACAACTTTGAGAAGCATCGCAAGGACAAATGGAGCCAAATAAACGGTCTAAAGTGTGATATTATATTCTTACAATATAAATGAGGAGCCAAAGTGAGATGAGCGGAGCATTAATCTTACTCAGATGGATTTACGTTGCAATGACTGAAGCCCAGACAGTGTAATCCACCCTCAGCGGACACAAGCAAAAAAACTTGCGCCGTACAACTGTTTAGCTTTGATACACCAGACGCTAATGGATGTATGAAACGTCCGCGGCACTTGCAGGGTCCCTTGGCACACATGTCTCTTCTCTACCCAGTGGGGATGGGCATAAAAGTGGAGCGGGGGGTATCCTAGGCTTCTTAACTTTCTCGTTGCTTGCACTTTTTCTCCACCGCTATTATCTCCTCCACACAGCTCAGTTCTTTTGCCGATGCCGAGAATGCCAACCAGAGAGAGGGACTGGGTGAGAGAGTGGGGATCCCGGCGAGGTGATAATCCCAATTTTGAATGGAGCTTAGTGCGATCCCCCTCCCTCCGGTGCTTTCATTCTCGGGTACACCCCCTTCCGAGGCGACCCATCCTCCTGTCTGGCACAGATAACTCATCCTCCTTTCTCAAGTCCTAGCATGTGCCGGCTAATGCGCTAACATTAAAGGCCGATGATTAGCACGTCGGCGAGCTGGGGGGCAGGGGAGGTGACTGAGGTATATACTTTGGATGGTCCCGTTGAGGTCAGGGGTGGATGTTACCGGAGTAGGCGCTGACAGGCCGACAAGAGCTGGCAGGAATTCAATTACGCTATATGTTTCGGGACAACCACACATGGATTATTTAAAG